CTCGCAGGTGTATCACCTGGCTAGCGTACGTCTGAGGGATTTGTGCGTGAAGCTGGACATCTCGTCCGATCTGCGAGGGAAAATCTGGACTTGTTTCGAGCACTCTCTGGTCCACTGTACCGATCTGATGAAGGACCGGCACCTGGACCAGCTGCTGCTGTGCAGCATTTACATCATTTCCAAAGTGAGAACACAGAGAAAAGCTTCACATTTAATTAAGAAGAACGTATGGCAGCTGTTTTTAAACCGCCTGAGGCTGCTGCGCGGGCTTGCTGGGAAATGTCTTTCTGGCATTTTAACACTTTTCTAATTTCTCAATCATGATTTTTCTCCTCGGGGGGAAATGTGTTTCTGACAGCTGCTGTGACCAGCGACCTGTGCAGGGAAACGAGGCTGAGTCAGCCAGAGAAAAGCAGACAGTTTATTCACAAACTTTTATTCTTTAGCTGCCTTCTGTAAGTAAATGTTTAGCAGAACAGACAGCAGATCAGATTATACCGTTAAACAGAAACATGAAATATTTATGTTGTGTCTGCAGTGAAAGGAACGTTTTTCCGTCGCTGTCATAGCAGCAGGTGAAGCCTTCATACACTACATGTAGCTTCCAGGTGTGCCTTATACCTGCCATCTTCCTAACAGCAACATGATTTATAACCACAACAAACACTTTGCTGCTGACTTTCTGGTCTTGGTCAGTAGGTGAAGTTCTCACTGACTACAGATGAAGCTGCTTGTGTACGTCATGGTCCCATTAAGTCAAAGATGATGATGCAGCTGCTTTACGTTGTGATTGAAAGTGTTCTTACCTGGTCAAATCACCATGTTAGAGTTTTGCTTTAAAATTGTCTGGCATGTCCACGTTTTCACCAATTCCTTTATTTAAGTGCAGTATAGTTTCTCCGATGGAGAATACATTTAATACATGCAGGCTGTTACTAACCAAATGAAGCCCAGCTGAAAGTTTGAGCAGCATCAACTGTGTGTCACATCATCGCAGCAGTGTGTATGTATCCTGTTCATTTGTTGATGCAGAAGTTGTTTTTATAATTGAGCCCAAGTTTCTTTTCCACTGCTGGAAATCCAACTACTAGAACAAAAGAAACATGTGCTTGTAGTAGAGGTAAGGATCACCTGTGCACTAACGTGATGTTTCTCCAGAACAACTTACCAGAAGGAACAGGGCGTCTAGTTTAAGAAATCAATTTTGTTTGTACATCTTTTGACTCCTTCCTTTGTTTCTTGTAGATCACCAAAGAGACTCACACCTTCCAGGACATCATGAAATGTTACCGCAGCCAGCCGCAGGCCAACAGCCACGTGAGAAACCCCTTTAACACAAGCTAATTACCGATTCTCTTAATCAGTAATGTTACGTTTGTAGAGGCTCCACTCTTACACTCTGTTTATACGTGTAGGTGTACCGCAGCGTCTTACTGCGTCGCACTCCCAGAGAGCAGGTGGCTGATGAAAACATGGAGGTGGATCCTGTTTCGGGTGGAGAATGTAAGCTCTCACAGACATGTTTCTTAATGACTTCCTTTAATGTCGCATCAAAGCA